TGTCTCTAATATCCAGGGAAGGACCAACTTTTCTACAACACTGCTTACATGTATATGATTGCGCAGATTTGGAATATCTGGATTCTGTCACTTCCTCTTACAACCCTATCCATTGTCCTGTTAGCCAGCCTATTAAAGGTATTTTATGATTGAAATTAGGCATAAAACTACTGTTGATTATTTGTGCTCCTGCATTGTCAGGACCTGTTGTGAAAATATGTGCTCTAGTGTACCAAAATGTAAAAATACTTTGATTTATCCCATTGTAGTCAAATAGAGGTCATTTTGGGATTATATTTAAAATATGACACCCTCTAGAAACTAAATTCTAATACTGGTTCAGCTGTGGTTTTGGGTGATATATAAGAATAGTCCCTATTTCAGAAAGATTGAGATTGCCTTCTATATGCTGGCTGTCTTTATTAATACATAAGAGAGACTGATTATTTATTTTTAAAGATTAATTGAATATTGGTGTGGGGAATACTTGAAACAGTAACTTTTTTAAAGAAAAGTACAGTTTAATTTTTTTTTTACAAAATTAATATGAAAAGGTATCAGAATCTGTTCTTAAAAAACAATCTTGTCAAAAATTTGTTATGCAGTGGCTAGAATTTAATATTTTAGTAGAGATCAGTATGTCCACAAGAGGTCACTCTTAGCATCCTATGAAATCTTCAGTAATTAAAAGTAGCGTGTAGATGAATGTTGTGAATTACTAACCAAGTGCTGAACATCAGAAAAGAGACACGGAGAATGAAATTAGTCAGGTCCTCCTCATTTACTCCAGTTTACAAGTGGCTATAAGGTTGTTAATTTAAAAAACCCAACTATGGTACTATCCATTTCAGTTGAAATGCGATTTTTAAATGTGAAGATCTTTTATATATTAAGGCTTTTCTAATGTTATCAGTACAATGCCATTTTTTATAAATAGCCCCAATTCTGAATTTACTTATTTCTAACTCATCTAGTTGTGCTTAAATATTGCAATAATCTATTGGAACAGGGGTTCTCAACCTTTTTCTTTCTGAGGCCCCCCTAACATGCTTAAAAACTCCACCGCCCACCTGTGCCACAACAACTGTTTTTCTGCATATCCAGTAGATTAAAAGCCAGGGCCAGCATTAGGGCATAGCAAGCAGGGCAATTGCCCGGGGTACCACACCACAGGGGCTCACATGAAGCTAAGTTGCTCAGCTTCAGCTTCAGCCCCAGGCCCCAGCAAGTCTACTAGCCCTGTTCTCTGGTTTATTTTGGCAGACCCCCTGAAACCTGCTCACAGCCCCCCAGGGTGGCCCCGGACCTATGGTTGAGAACCACTGTACTAGAAGCTTATGAATAGTTGGGATGTATTGTGTGTGCATAGCACTTGCCAACAAGATACTAACACACCTAAACTTTGACTTGCCTGCATTTGTCTGATGTGCAATATTTGTTTGAAACTTAAATATTTTAGTTTTTTAAAATCTCCTTTTCTTGAAGTCAGCAGTCTATATAACTTTAGCATTTAATATTAAGCTGGTGTTTAGCTAATGAGGTGGGTTTCTTAACTACATGTAGCTTTTCTGGTTTACTTCCTAATTAAAACATAACCTGTTCTTTCCATCTTCTTGCAATATGACATGCCCCGATGTCCCCCTAGACAGCAGCCTTTCTTTTGGGAACGCAATCTAAGGCGGTTTTCACTACCCCACAATATGTCTTTGTTCTTTCTTGTAGTGCTGAAAAAGAGATCAGGCAACAGGCCTATCTTTTCTTCATATTAGGGGGACATCAGGGCTTGATGTATTGCAAAGTCTGCTTGTAGCACTAGGCTTTAAACAGCTAGTTGCTTGGGCTGTGCTCAAGGAGAGTTCTCTGATTTACAGTGCTTTGTAGTAAACCCTTAAACATGTATCTTTATAATGCAAATATGAGTAGACCATGTTAAATCATAAACTTAATATATTATAACTGAATTATATTAAATTAAATATATTATATTCTATTCTGTTTGGGGCGTCTGAGTGGGGAGTAGGTTGGGTAGTGAGAAGTAATAACTGATCTGTATTTTTTCCAGATCAAAATGTGTTTTCTGACATGGACTCTTTACACTGGGGAAGTGATGAATACTCTTCTCCATCCATATAAAAGCAGTAGTGGATTATTAATTCTGCTATGTGCCCCAAATATGGCTAAACATTCCTGTTCTCATTAAATATATTTGAATAGTGACCTTTTGTAAGGAAGGAGTTCAGTGCCTGAAAACTAAAGTTAGTAAAAAAAAAAAAAAAAAAATACCAAAGGTCTGAAGAATGATTTTTGGGTGTCTTATGCTACTGTGGCTGTACGCCCCATTGCTTAACAGAAGAGCAGCATTGTTGCTACTACCCACATCAATATTTTGTGATATTTGAAAATGTTGTTTTGGTGTATTGTAACTTTTTTCTTAAAATATAAAGACAATTATTTCTACAGCAGGCACATGCAATTTCTTTTCCTCTTGTTTCTGAAAAGTGTATTTCAAAAACATGTTTGTGTCTTTCTTACAACTTAGGGTTACTTCAATCGCAGATAGACTGAATGTTGAATTTGCTCTGATTCACAAGGAAAGAAAGAAAGCTAACGAAGTGGACAGAATGGTCTTGGTTGGTGATGTGAAAGATAGGATAGCTATTCTTGTCGATGACATGGCTGACACATGTGGCACAGTATGTCATGCAGCAGACAAGTAAGTATTGTTCCAAATTGACCCAGTACCCCACTGTACAGTCACCAATCTGTTGCAAGTTGGCCAAATTGCTTGGTCCCTCCCCCCGCTGCTTCCATTTCAGCTGGGTCTAGTGTCTAGTTGTTGTTTTTTTTCTAGGTCTGTAGGGCACAGTCCTAGCCTCAGACCCCATGTCTGACTTCTTCCTTGGGACCTGGAGTGCCATCGCCCTTGAAATCAGTGTCTGAGACCTACCAAGCTCCCTAGTTGCTTATACATGCTCCCTTAGAGCTCCACCTATGCTGTGGTTTGAGTTTCCAGTTTGACCCCTTCAGGGACAACGTAGCAGAAAAGCAAGGAACAGAGGCTTAGCAAAGAAATTTCTTAACCAGAGTGACTTTACATTTAAAGTACATGAGAATTATAGAACTTTGAAAATAGAAGTTCTGGAATACACTCTGCCCTAGTCTGATCTGACCACTTCCGGGAATCTAAAGTCTGTCAGCATTTCAGATTGGGCAGAGTCCTTCTGGCAAGTCACATTGGTGAGGATCAAACCTCCCATGCCCCCCCCCTTCCCCCCCCCCCCCCCGACAGCAACCTTACTCTTAAATAGAGCCTCATGGTGCTATCTGCTCCCGCCCCATGAGTTGTTCTTGCCCCTTCTTGTGGGCCCCTGTATAGAGAAACTGTTATTCTGTGGTGGTAGGCCAGTACATGGGAGGAGTCAGTGGCCCTAGGTTGCTTTGTCCTGGCTTTTAATGCTCTTCAGTGAGGTGTCAAACACTCTCCCTGAGCAGAGCAGCAGTCTGGAATGCAGTAAAATAGTGTATTCTTGGGCATGTCGAGGCTTGTGCAGTCACAATACCCAATACTTCCATGCATAGCATAAGTCAGCTCACATGCGTAAAGTTACTCGTGCTTAAACATTTGCAGGCTTGGGACCTCAGGCTGTAAATTCAGCAGAGCAGGGCAGCTGTTTTTTCCTGTGTGTTTATAGTACACCTAGCAGGACAGACCCCTCTTGGGGGGACTTTGCTATTACTATCTATATCTATATAAATAAATATAAAATGATGGGGTCTAAATTAGCTGTTACCACTCAAGAAAGAGATCTTCGAGTCATTGTGGATAGCTCTCTGAAAACATCCACTCAATGTGCAGAAGCAGTCAAAAAGGCTAACCGAATGTTGGGAATCTTTAAGAAAGGGATAGATAATCAGACACAAAAAATCATATTGCCGCCATATAAATCAGTGGTTCTCAAACTTTTGCATTGGTGACCCCTTTCACACAGTAAACCTCTGAGCGTGCCCCTCCCCCCATAAATAAAAAATACCTGTATAACGCTGTCCTCGGGAGCCAAAAAATCTTACCGCGTTATAGGTGAAACCGTGTTATATTGAGCTTGCTTTGATCCACCGGAGCGCACAGACGCGCCCCCCCCCCGCCCCCACCGAAGCGCTGCTTTACCGTGTTATATCCAAATTCATGTTATATCAGGTCGCGTTATATCGGGGTAGAGGTGTGATTTTTTATATTTAAAGCTGTTATAGAGAAGCAGGGTTTTGAGGGTGGAGGCTGATGGCTCGTGACCTCCCACGTAATAATCTCACGACCTCCTGAGGGGTAACGACCCCCAGTTTGAGAACCCCGATATAAATCCATGATATACCCACATCTTGAATATCGTGTACATATCTGGTCACCCCATCTCAAAAAAGATATATTGGAATTGGAAAAGGGCAAGAAAAATGATTAGGGGTATGGAACGGCTTCTGTATGAGGAGAGATTAATAAGACTGGGACTTTTCAGCTTAGAAAAGAGACAACTAAAAGAGGATATGATAGAGGTCTATAAAATCATGACTTGTATGGAGAAAGTAAATAAGGAAGTGTTATTTACTCCCTCTCATAACCCAAGAACTAGGAGTCATCAAATGAAATTAATAGGCAGCAGGTTTAAAACACACACAAGGAAGTATTTCTTCACACAATGCACAGTCAACCTGTGGAACTCTTTGCCAGAGGATGTTGTGAAGGCCAAGACTATAACCGGGTTCAAAAAAGAACTAGCTAAGTTGATGGAGGATAGGTCTATCAATGGCTGTTAGCCAGGATGGGCAGTGATGCAAAAGCATGCTCTGAAGTGTCCCTAGCCTCTGTTTGCCAGATGCTAGGAATGGGCGACAGGGTGATTACCTGTTCTGTTCATTCCCTCTGAAGCATTGACCGCTGCTCGAAGACAGGTTACTGGACTAGATGAACCATTGGTCTGACCCAGTATGTCTGTTCTTATGTTCTTATAATACAAATAATAAAAGATAGTGTGGTGTGAAAAACACTTAAAAGAATTCTCAAATCAAAATAGGAAAAATAATTTGGTTTTGTTTTAACTGTAAGAAATCCTGCTTCATCTAATGCAACAATTCTGGGAAAAGATATCTGTTCTAGTTTAGAGTTACAGCTGAAAGAGGTGCTCTCCTTATATACATAGCCACCATTTTCAATATGGTATGTAATGAAAAGGTTTATTCTGCATTTTCTAGCTCACTTTGGATACTCGGTGATACAAACAGCTAAAAACAAAGCTAATTAACTTAAATTTCCACCCCCTATGAAAGGGGTCAGTACTGACTGAACAAATGGTTCTTATCTTGACTAAGCAGATGGAAAGGGTTTTGTGTGGCCGAACCAGGTTTTCAGCTAGCTTTTTGTTTTTAATTTGTTTAACTCTCTTGTCAGTATTTTTAAATAGAACTGTATTGTCTGTCTTGCCTTCTCTAGAAAGAGTGTAATGAATCAAGTCTGAACTCCTGTAACAAAGCAGCCTTTGACGGGACACTACTGAGAGTATCAATTCAGGACAAATTGCTTAGAGCAGGGCAGTCACAGCCCGAGGCTGGGGTCCTTCACTACTAAGGCACACCAAACCAGCGGGACTTTGGTTTTACCCCACTGGCTAACGAGAAGTCATACAAGTAATTCCTTCAGACACTCCAGTTCCCCAGTATCACCACCAGCACCGCTCCTTATGGGGATGAATGGTTATGAAAACCAATACCTCAGGAGGAAAAAAGGGTTCTCCTGATCCCAGAGCACGAAGCCCCAGGCCCAGGTCAATATAGAAGTCAGACCTTACCCATAAATCATGCTGTTGCCAATGCTTTAGAATCTAAAATCTAAGGGTTTATTCATAAAAAGAAAGAAATATAGATGAGTTAAAATTGGTTAAATGGAATCAAATACACACAACAATTGCAATGTTCTTAGTTCAGGTTGTTTCAGGTTTGATGGGATTACTGCTGATTTAAACCAGTTAAGTCTCTGGAGTACCAACATCCCAGCTTGGATGCGTTGTTCAGTCCTTTATTCAGAGCTTCAGTTTCAAGCACAGTTCCTCCAGAGGTCAGAAACAGGAATGAAGACCAAATGGAGGGGTTTCCAGAGCCTTTTATATCCTCTGCCATGTGGAAGGAAACCCCTTAGTTCTTACTATGGAAAATCACAGCAGCAAGATGGAGTTTGGAGTCACATGGGCAAGTCACATGTTCATGCATGACTCAGTTCGCAGGTGGTAGCCATTGCTCACATGAACATTCCCAGGAAGGCTCCTCAGATGTGGATTGGAGTCTCCCAAGGTCCATTGTCAGTTACTCAGAATAGTCCTATCAAGAAACACTTAAGTGCCAATTCTCAAGAAGCTGACCAAATGCTTCACTGATGCTACTTAGAATCAAACACATTGAGATACAAGTACATAGCCAATATTTATAACTTCAAATACACACACACGATACACACATACAGACAGCATAATCATACCCAGCAAATTACAACCTTTTCATAGACACCTTACTCGACCTCTTTGTACAAGATTTGGTGCAACTATAGGACCTTGGTTGCAACAATGATCTATATGGTCACAGTTCATGTCAATAACGTCACAACTGCATAAGGAGCAATTGGGAGGGGCCAGGCCAGTGGACTGCACCTCAGTATGTATTAGACAAATACCTGGCAAAGATGGTCCAGGTAATACTTAGTCCTGCCATAAATGCAGGGGACTGGATTAGATGGCCTCTCAAGGTCCCTTACAATCCCATGATTACTAATTAATTGACTGAAGCAAGAATCACTTAGCAAGATTATGGCTACTAGTCTCAGATGTGTTATTTGTCTCTCACAGTGTAGAGGAGTCAGAGCCCTCTTTCCTCTTACTATCTCCCACCCATCAAACTTACAAAAATACCATCTGCAATTCCAAAAACTTGAATCAGGTAGCTAAATGGTTCTGTCTGATCCAGTTCTTCTTTGAGTAGCATCCCTAGGGTGTTCCACTCTGGTGCACTAGTGCCCCCTGCGCCTTTGTTCAGAAACTTCTAGCAGTGTCTGTTTGGCCTGTGCATGCTGTTAGTCAGTCTTGTGCCCTGTGCTGTTGTGTTATAGCATTGCATGGGTGAACCACCCTCAGTTCCTTCTCAACCGCCTCAGCCTGAGACAGGGGTCTGGCAGTTGTCCCGTTGAGATTTCCTCAACTTTAGCCTCTATTCTTAATAGTTAGTATGAGTTTCATTAGTTAGTAAGTAGTAATAGTATAGCTGCTTCTTATAAATGTTTGGCTGGCTTCAAATGTTTGTCATGCCTGGAGGAGATCCTGGTTGGTGTCAGGCACTCCCACTGCATCGTTGCCTCGGGGAATCGCATGTTGCCCAGAAGTGCAAGTTTTGTCTGGCACTAAAGTCAAGAGCCAGAAAAAAACAGAGAAGGCTTCATCGCCTCATGATGGAGAGCTCCCTATGCCTGGCTTCTGACCCAGTCCAAGGCACCTCCCGTTTCTGAGCAAGTCTGCTGCCTCCATGAGGCCCAAACCTCCAGGGCTCCCAAGAGGAAGACACAAGACTCCTGTGAAAGGAATGTTCCCCTAGCACAATAGGTAGAGAATCTCTAAAAGCCAAGGTCATCAGTATCTTCAGCTACTTTGGTGCCATTGGCTCTCCAATCATGTACCAGTGAGGTTACTGGTTCCTCTGTTACCCAGGGCATGGCTAGACTGAAAGATGGGAAAGCTTCGGTCCTGGAGAGATCATTGGTACCATTAATGGATCGAGGCGCCAAGAAGAGCTTTCTCAGTACCGAAGAAGCGTGGTGGAGTTCTGACTGTGCTTCCCTCTGAGCACCCTGAGACTTACGGTACTGTCAGCGCCCTCGGCCACGATCACCTTGGTGCAGACTGCAGGCTCTGTACCAATAACACTCTTGGTACCACAGGAGTTCTGGTTTCCCCAGCACCTGGCTGTATCTGAGATGTCCGATTCTCTGCTCCTCAGTGTCAATGTGCTGTTGACACAGAGGACATGGAGATCACCTAAAGTTCACTTGGTACTGATGGTTTCACCTCAGATCTCTCCTGACGCTCCACCATTCCAGACTGAGCTTGAGGAAGAGGATTTTGGTGAAGACCTTGCCTCGGAGTCTCAAGTGTCAATTCAGGATTCTCTCTTCACTTCTATAGAGGCCCCTTTCCAGAAGCCTCTGGTAAAGCTGCAACTACTCGTGGCCCACAATTGCCACCAATACCTGGCTGGTATGAGCACCCCTGGATGCCTCCTCCTATGCCTTATGCACCTCCTCCTTGGCCATATTGGGACCCGGGGGAGGCCTATTACCCATTCACTTGCCTGTCTTCCATCCTAAACTGCATCTAGATAACCAGGAGACACTGCTTTATCCCTTTATGGATGCTAAAAACTGTTGTATGTCTTGTTTCCTGTTTCCTCTCCTGTAGAGAGATGAGATGGGGCCTAATTGTCAAAAGTTCAATAGAGTGAAGAGAACCGTAATGCATTAACAGGAGGAAGATCCTGACCTGCACAAATAGATGGCACTGCTAGCTGAGTGAGGAGTTCAGTAAAGCAATACTTTTATCCTGTGACTCTTTTTTTTCCATCCCCAAATCTGAAACTTGGAAAGGATTATGTCCTTTCTTCATTGTTTCCAAACATAATTGAGTCACAGAGGACAATAAAGATGTAGCCCGTATCCCAAGTAATTGTCACAGATGTTTGAAAATGTCCATTTCTAAATAGTTTATACATGCAGTTCAAGTAAGTTGTATCTCCAGCAATCTACTTGGTTTGAACTAAAAAAAAAAAAGGTATTGGAATTCAGATTGTAGACTAACCTTGGTTAAAGTGTAACTATTTTAGATCATCACAATAGCTACTGACACCCATTGACTTAGTTCACAATTATTCACCAGCAAGTGTAGTGTAGGGAGCTCACTGGGATGTACTTTTGGTCAGCCTTTCCTAATATCCATACTGTCGGAGTTCAACTGCACCTGTGTTTTCCCCTCAGCGGTCCAGCAAGAGCTCCCACTCTAGGGTTCTGGCTCCCAGCCATCACCTCTTGGGTGGAGACCCACGTCTCTCCCTCCCTCCTGACCATGGAATTTCCAAGCTGAGAGTCAGTTTACTACTAGATTATTTATTCCAATGTTCTTTTTTTGGTCTGCCAGTCTCCAGTATCCAGTTTGAACCATTGAAGAGACCATGAATGAGTGATCAACCAGACAATGGATCTCTTCCCCAGGGTTAAGCTTCAAAGGTCTGGTGACTGGAGGAATTATAGTAGCATTCCCCATCCTCCTAAAGAAGTTGCATATAATCTCATAACACATTAAAAAATTACATTTTTAATACACTGGATGTCAAAAGTGTTAAACTTAAGGTTTATCCAAGGGTATTGCGTTATTTGTCATGCATACAAGCTAGCAGATACTCAAAACTGTACTACATGATTTTACAGGGGTTATTACTTTTTTGTAGTCTGTTGAAGGAATCAATATGTAAACTAGATCTTAAACCAAGAGATTATCTGGTTTTGCTATTTCCGAAGTAACACTAGAATTATGTGCTCAAACATACATTGCAAACTTTTCTGTTTTTCCCCATGTTTTTTAGGTTAGTGTCTGCTGGAGCCACTAAAGTTTATGCTATTCTGACTCATGGGATCTTCTCTGGCCCTGCTATTTCTCGAATCAATAATGCTGCATTTGAGGCTGTTGTAGTAACTAACACAATCCCACAGGATGAGAAAATGAAAAATTGTCCCAAGATTCAGGTACTGTGTTGTTTGTTTGGTGTAGCTTTTCATCTGCTTGATAAAATGCAAATCTAGAATTCAGTTCTTGATGCTAGGATCCCATGCCAGTGACATAAAATATACTGTTCACAAATTCACTGGACAGTTGTCTTGTTTGTAGAACTTATTCCTAAATGACATTGAAGAATTTGACTGTTCCTTTAAAATACCATTGTGAAATCTAGTCAGTTTTAAAAAGACTTAATATATGGCAGCTTCTCCTGAATAACTCTGTTGATTTCGTGGGGTGGGGGTGGTTTAACTGGTGTGTCAAAGTAAGAAGTTACCCTTTTTTTTCTTCTGACAATGTACATCATGTTATGTTTACATATGAGAAATTAATATAATTATTATATTGAAGTCTTTGATTTGTTCCTTGTATTGAGGATATAGTTTTAAAATAACTTTTTTATGAAATACCAGACAGCAGAAGTTACATCGTACCAAAAAAAGTTTGAATGCATCTCAGGACAACCTCACAAAAAGCCTGGTGTTCCCTTGGGAGTTTCTTCTGGGGAAAACAAAAATTTTTTGTGATGGTGGTGTTTTTTGGGATTTGTTTAAAGCTACTTCAGTTTGAGAGCACCAAAAGGCACATTAAGTTCTGATATAATACAGTAGTCAAATTGAATAAACTAAAGCCAATTTGGTATTAACAGAAACAAGACTTGTGGTTTCAGAGTAGCAGCCGTGTTAGTCTGTATCCGCAAAAAGAACAGGAGTACTTGTGGCACCTTAGAGACTAACAAATTTATTAGAGCATAAGCTTTCATGGGCTACAGCCCACTTCTTCGGATGCATATAGAGTGAAATATATATATATACACACACACACACAGAGCATGAACAGGTGGGAGTTGTCTTACCAACTCTGAGAGGCCAATTAAGTAAGAGAAAAAAACTTTTGAAGTGACAATCAAGATAGCTCAGTACAGACAGTTTGATAAGAAGTGTGAGAATACTTACAAGGGGAGAGAGATTCAATGTTTGTAATGGCTCAGCCATTCCCAGTCCTTATTCAATCCTGAGTTGATTGTGTCTAGTTTGCATATCAATTCCAGCTCAGCAGTCTCTCGTTGGAGTCTGTTTTTGAAGTTTTTCTGTTGTAAGATAGCCACCCGCAGGTCTGTCATTGAATGGCCAGACAGGTTAAAGTGTTCTCCCACTGGTTTTTGAGTATTATGATTCCTGATGTCAGATTTGTGTCCATTAATTCTTTTGCATAGAGACTGTCCGGTTTGGCCAATGTACATGGCAGAGGGGCATTGCTGGCACATGATGGCATATATCACATTGGTAGATGTGCAGGTGAATGAGCCCCTGATGGTATGGCTGATGTGATTAGGCCCTATGATGATGTCACTTGAATAGATATGTGGACAGAGTTGGCATCGGGCTTTGTTACAAGGATAGGTTCCTGGGTCAGTGTTTTTGTTCAGTGATGTGTGGTTGCTGGTGAGTATTTGCTTTAGGTTGGGGGGTTGTCTGTAAGTGAGGACAGGTCTGTCTCCCAAGATCTGTGAGAGTAAAGATCATCTTTCAGGATAGGTTGTAGATCTCTGATGATGCGCTGGAGAGACTTGTGGTAAAGATCTGTAGTTCTATAAACTTACTTCAAGGAGATATTGCCATCTAGTGGATAAAATTGTTAGGAAACTTGGATTGTATTCCTTGCTGTGTAGTTTTGGATTAATCTCTTAGTGCTCAGTTTATTAATTTTTAAAATAGATATAGTAAGCAGTCCTCACAGGTGAGGTTTATCTAGTTAATGTTTGTAAAGCACTTTGAGTTCCTTAGAAGAAAGATGCTGTAAATGCTAATAGTCACTAGTGTTAGTGGTATAATAAATTGTATTTTCTTGATTGCTTTTAGGTTATTGACATTTCCATGATTCTGGCTGAGGCAATCCGAAGAACACACAATGGCGAATCTGTGTCCTACCTGTTCAGCCATGTTCCGCTATAACTGCAAGAGATTAGTGTTTTCCTGTTGGTTGTGTCCACCAGCACTGTCAACCTTTTTAAATAATGCGACTCAACAATGAGATGACTCTCTTGGTAAAAAGCTTCAGCTCTTGCATACTTAAAGATGTTTTCGTTTTCTAATTAATCTTTGTTCATTGTAAATGGGTAATACAGCTCCATTTTGCAAAATCTCTTATGAATACACTTAAGGATTTTGAAGGGGAGGCTTCAATACTTACCTGTGACTATTCCTACAGGTAACTTTTTGATTCTGTATTTGCCTATAGCAAGAGGGTCAATACCATTTCAAAACTTTTTATATTTGTGGGGCTGCCAAAGTTAGCCCAATTTTAAAATATTTCATATTTAGTTTATATTTAATAATAAGTTGGATGGGCAATGAGGTAGTTCTCCTGCTGTGTAATATTGAACCTTGTCTAGGCTGTTAACTAAACATTGGAATAAGCGATTAAATGTGTATTCCCTTAACAGTTAAATATTTTTTTACTTGGCAGAAATTCTGTGGTAGCTTGATGCCCACCTACTTCATATACCTCATGATTAAAAATTGCTGGGCAAATTCACTTTTTGTGGGGTCAGCATAACTGTAGATTAGAGATTAGTTGCTTGTGTTCTCTTCCTACTAAACTGCTGCCTCAAATGTCTAATCTCTAAAGCTGGGACCACAGCCACCACTTCTCTGCATATGGTAGTTAATAGAATTTGTACTTTCAAAAGATTATGCTTCATTTAGAACTAAATTTGTCAATTATAGGCATCTTGTATCTATACATTAGTCTCTCAAGTAACTTACTACAGTTTGTTGAACTTTATTTACATCTTCAGTTTTAACCATGAGTCTGTCACTTTGTAGATTTTTTAAACAAAATTTGAGACTTCCATAACAAAATTAAAGTGAGCTATTAACACAGTATTCAGTGGGCTACATTTTGGAGCATATGAAATTCCAAAGTTCAAAGAGTGATTGTGTATGTGTGTAAAATGGGTTCTCTTTCCCCCCCCCCCCCTCTGGAAAGTTCATTGCACTATATCATTCTGTTCTGCTCTATGTTGCTCAGCTGCAGTTTTCCTGTTCATAGTTCAGTATTTGACATGTCAACCAAGCATGTTATACATCTGTTAACGTGTAAATTCTAATGGTCACTAGTATTAGTGATATAGTAAAATATTTCTTAAAGCTTTCCAACCTCCTTACAGACAGTGGAGCTTGACCATTCTGTTAGGTGAGATCTTTATTGTTGTGCAGCCAGCTGAGTGGTCTGGTTGCTCAACAGTCGCAGGTACTCAGTAACAAAGGCGCAAAAACCATTGTGAAAATAACAGTTTGCAGTTGAAATGTTGAGACTCTTATCCTTAAGTACTGGTGGTAAATTCCTTTAGTAATTTTAAGGGTTTGTCTAAATCAAAATCCTTATTCTTGAAGATTACAATTCCAAGTTCTGAAGGGACTAAAAGCATGGAGAGCACTCAGACACAGCACACTAAAGGTGTGGAGGCTTCAGTTGAGCTAAGATAAAATTCACACACATAGATCATGAGGATATCCAGGTTTCCACCTGATGTAGTTAATTACAATTTCATTTTCCATATCTTAGAAATGAGTCTCGTTTTATTGTGGGGATCCCGCCAAAAAAGCCTGATTTCTGCCAATTTTACTGTATTATGGTATGGTATAACTTTAAATGTGCTTATTTTTCTGTGGTATCTTAGGCAGTCTAATGTTCTATTCCAGTGTCTACCTAATATGATTCTAAAACTGCTTTAGTTTGGTATGCCAGCTCTTTTCAGGGATTTAAAAAAAATCCACTTGTACTGTTTTTATCAGTAAGGAGAGGAATAGTGGTGGTGAGCATATCCATGTCAATAATCCAAAGAAAATGCAATTCAGGTGTCTGTCTACTGAAAACTTCTAGCCCTGGTTTAATTTTCAAATCTTGTAACGTAACGTGACAGGACGAATCCGTTGCCTACCTGCTGCAGAAAAGGTTTTATATAGAATTATTTAACCTTTTGTAGTCTTAATTTTAGAGATGTCTAGCTTTATCACATTGCAGTTAAGTCTACCCCAAAACTATGGCTGATTAGCCATGATCATACCAAACTTTCTTTTGACTTGCCTGTTCTTTTGCTAGTATATTTAGTACCATAGACAATCTGTTGTCTTGCTCTGCAGATCAGGGCTCTGTTACAAATGAAATGTTGACCTGTTTTGCCACTACTATGCTCAAGTATTCTTAATAAATCTTAAAACTACTTGTGTTTATAGGTTGTTGTTTTCTTTTATTCTTTTGTTGCATTGGTTTATGGAGACCACTTATTACAAGTATTGAGTTGGGGATGGAGACGGGGTGGGAAGTATAGCCAGTGGTATTCTTCCAAGCCCTGCTTACAAACTGTGCCCAGCCATCCTGGACACCAAACAAGCTGCCCCTCCATTTGTGCAGATCTTCATAATAGGTTCATCCTTCTCCCTCTTCAAATGCTCTGACAAGCACTGAAATAGTTACAGTAATGTTTAAATTATCATTACTAGGCATCTAATTAAACCTATATGAATAGGGGCAGTTTTTGCTTCTCCGGTTATGCATTTTAAAGTTTTTCAGCAAAAATGGTTCACTTGTTTCTGACATTGAGGTTAGCTTGGGGGGGGTGGGAAATAATAGTTTTACTAACTAACATTTTCTTACTGCTTTTGAATGGCTTTAGTGACCTGGGGATTTGGAGCAATGACTTGAAATAATTTAGGAGGATGATCATGAGGGTCAGAGGAGGTGAAGTGCCTTTTGATGATCCTGTGAATATCCAGCTGGTCTTGCTGAAGTTAAGCCACAGGAAGTGTCTTTATTATGTGTTCAGTAGATTTTGTTATAAGCTTGCTCCTGAATTTTCTGATCATTTCATGTGAATTGTGCATTCTTCCTGACCCCAAGAGACAGTCCTATCATTTTGAGGCAGCCATATAGACCAAATGAACCCTTCCTCCCATCAAAATACTGTTTGGCCTAAAGAAAGAAATAACTGGGTTGCAAGCTAGTAAATCCAGAGTTCAGTTCTAGCTGCTTCTGATTGAAATACATGAAATGAATAGCACCAACTTTATTATTGAGCAATTCTAACTCTACCAAATCAGTGTGTGTGTGCAACATGCCCAGACATTTGATGGCATCAGGTGGATAGCCGGTAGCCCACCATCGAAATAAGTCAGTGGGCACTCCTCAAGGATATGCAACATAGTCTGAAGTTGACCACAACTGCATTGTAGGTCATTTGAAAAATCACATTTAAAGAGATTGGCAGCACAGTTGCCCGATCCTGTTTGAAACTGGTTCAGAGATGACCACGGGTGCCTTGGCAAATCAAAACCCAGTGGACAGATGGTTGGGTCAATGACAAGAGAGTGATTAAGAACGGTCGTTACTGACCACTCGTTGCACCAAGCAGATTCCACTGTCATGTCCTGTGGTGGTGTAAATTACCATAAAATGCGTCTAGAAGACAGGCCAGCTGAGTGGTTGAAGAGGTCTGCATACAAATACAGGCCGCTGTTCTCATGGTTTTTGGCAAACAGCATAACAGAGATCCTCCCACAGGGGCTGAGCGGGGACCCCCTTCCCCCTGGGCTGCCCCAGGCGCTGGGCAGGGGCCACAGCAGGTGTGTGGTGCCTGGGGAGTGTGCTGTGCTCCAGCTACTCACCTGTGCAAGGTAGGGGTACTGGCTGGAGGGTGTGGGGTGCAGCAGAGCAGGAGCAGCAGCGGGAGTCGGCGGGGGGGTACTCTCACTGCCCATCCCTGACGCGGCTGTTGGCACTGCCTATGTTGCTGATGTTGGAGGAGGTGGCAAGGGAGACTCCGGCATGGGTGACAACTGGACTTTGAGTGTCTGGACAGCGTTTCTGACTGGACATTTTGGTCGAAAAGGACACCTGGCAACCCTACACCCACCCCTACCTCTCTCTCACACATGGGGACTGACCAACCAAACCCTCCCTGCCTGGCGCTCTCAGCCCTCTTAACCCTGCTGGGTCCCTGGGACAGGCCCGCATCCGCTACCTCGTGTTGCATCTTCCCAACCTGAGGTCACCGCCTGCTCCCACTGACCAGCTGCCGCATCGTGCAGCCACCAGGAAACAGGATGGGTAGTGGGGCCCTGCTGGCCGACAGCTGGCACACAGCAGGGGCTGTGCTCACGGACCGGCAGTAGGAGACCCCTGGTACCGCATGCTGCATCTTCCTGCCATCAGCCTTGTGCACTCATCCCCATCGTCGACCCCCATCCCTCACCATTGGTGGGCGAGCGGCTGGCAAGCAGGGATCCAGCCAGCAGCAGGACCTGTTGGTACTGAAATCAGGGGGAAAGCAGAAAATACGGGACAATTTGCCTGTATTTAGCAAAAAATCAGGCACCTGGCAGAGGGCTTAAATACGTTGACTGTCCTATTAAAAACAGGATGTCTAGTCACCCTACCTATGTGGTGTAGTGTTAAAGTTGTACATGACAGAACTTGTATTTCTTAAAACAAACAACCCTCTGGTAGGAACTACTATACAAAATCGTCCTGTGTTTTAAAGTATTTTATTAAAAATTAGACAAGCACGCACGTTTGAAAACACCAAAATTAAGATTTGTGTGGAACGTTAAGTTGTTTTGTGTGTGCTTTATGCCAGTGTCTTCAATTACATGATCACGTACTACTTTTTTTTTCCCCTAAGGGCCCCTGCCTTTCAGTGCTTAGGCTGCAGACATGAAAAAAATTGTCGGCATTTTTGTGGTAAAGACTTTGTTTTTACTGTAAATTCATGTACATAGTCAATCACGTAAGCCAATACCACAAACATAATATTCATATATTCAAAAGCCAGAAGGGACCATTGTGATCATCTCGTCTGACCTTCTGTATAACACAAACCACAGAACTTCTCCAAAATATTTCCAGAGCATATCATTTAGAAAAACACCCGATCTTGATTTTAAAATGGTCAGTGGTAGATTTACCACCCCACATTGTACAACTCATCTCTTGGGCGGGGAAAATGTTGTGTAAACAAGCAAGCCTTGGAGAGTCTGTGGGGAAGACGAACAAACTGTAGCTCTGTTGGAGCAAGTCGGCAGCATATTCCGGAACCAAGGGCCCTTTACTGAAAAAGCCCTGCCCCCTAACAGACTAATCTAGTGACTGCCAGCTTGAGTGCCCCAACTGTCTGGGCAATGCACAAGTAATCTTTAAGACAGCACTCATATAATAAAAGGCTTTATAGAGCAAAACCAACAGGTTTTGAATTATGGCTAGAACCCAGTGCCATTGTTGA